TTTTTTGCTTTTGTTCGACCTTTGCTCCACTGTGCGGCGTCCTTTGCTTTCAACTTGGTTGCGCCTGTTGATTTTCGACTTGGTTTGGTTTTGATTGCAGCTGCATTTATGCCATGTTTTTATGGCAAATTGAACGCTTGCCAAATTGCTTTTCAGACACACACGCACACGCACATACACGCACACACACGCATGCAGTTCGATACGCAAACTCACCCACAGCCATTGGCACAAGCTGCTGCGGCTGCCTTCTTCTAGAAAGGGACTTTTCGAATGTGGCTCCGATTCTTGCTGTTGCATGTCGTCGGTCCAAGCCAATTTGCAGCAAAGGAAACGAGATGGCGATAGGAAAACAAATATAATGCCAGCAGCATGCCCCAATTGAGGGCCGAGCTGTTAGGGCAAGGGTATAAAAACAAAAACACAAAACAGAAAAAACCCAAAACAAAAAAAAAAATCAAAAGTTATGCCCGGCGGCGATAAAGCAAATCAAACGCATCATTTGACTTCCGGCAGGGCGTTGCAAGCTGTGTGCCCAGTTGTTTAGCTGTTGCTGCTGCTGGCCCCACAATCTGCCGCAGATGTTGGCCGAGCGACGTCAGTTTCAACATATTTGAGTCGCATTGTTGCAACAGATGCAAAAAGCATGCAACATTCAGCTGCTGCTGCTGCCGCCGCTGCTGCTGCTTCTTCTTCTTCTACGGCTGCTGCTGTCAAGACCATGCCCTGACCGCCATGCCAAAAGCCTGTCGACTGCTGTGCTGTGGGCTAAAGTCATATGGCCTGATCGCATGCTGCTGTCTATAAGATCTCTTAGCCTTTGCCAACATCAACAGCGCGTGAATTATAGGAGCTACGACAATGGCAGACAGACGCCATTATGTAGGCACTAAACAAACTGAACTCTCACCTCGCTCGCCGATCGAGCAGCTGCTGCTGGTCGCTAAGCCATTGTCCGTTTGACGCGCTGGCTGCGGGGATTACCACCTGCCCACATTTCAGCAAAGCCAAAGCCATAGCCAAAGCAAACATTTGCACAATTTAGCCAGAAATTTACGATACAAGTTATTATTAATATGTCATCAGAGCGGGCATAAATAGCAGCGCGTCAGAGCCAGCGGCAGATCCATTTAATTGGGCAAGATCGCTGCCGGCCAGCCGGACGGACTGTGGCAACGTCTGTTGTTGCTTCATCCACAGTTCGCTCTGTTCGCCCTGTTGTTTTTTCTACTCTCGCTAATGGATCACAGCTAATTGTTTTGATGACATGTCTATAAATACGTATACATATATGCGACATTTATACACACACACATACACGTCAGATATATCTCTCCTGTCTAGCTGTCTGTAAGTAGATCGCGGAATCAGCAAACAATAATAATAATAATACTATAAAATTAACTAAACGTAGCACAGATTTGCAATCTGAATGCGAGAGTAATGAGAGCCAGGCAGCGGCTGGACGTA